GACCAGCTAGAGGGAATCTCGTTTCACTCTCATTCTACCTTTTACCATAACCAATCTCATGTGTATACTTGCCTTGCCATCTAAAACTACTCGCGGTAGCTCATCGGACTGTAGAACGTTTCTCCGTTTTAAGTTGTCTACAACGTTATCAACTGACCGATAGCTGCTACCTTCATGTACTGGTCGGGGTTGCATATCACAGTGATCCAACAAGCTATGCTGGTAGGAACGCTTATTTCCTCGACGTCCTACCATGCCAGAAAGACCTGTTGGATAATGGTAAGACGAAAATCAGTTACCATTGTAGTGTAAATTACTACATTATGGTGGGGATCTGAGAGCGAAGTCTTACTGATGCTAGGTGGATGGGTGTGATAACAGTAAGGTGTTTTCCTTAGATGATTAGCACTGTCACGTTGATGCTGTCTACTCAATGGGAAGGTGAGGGAAGAAAAGAAAAGGTCGATCCAAAACATAACACCACCATGCCCAACGGTCTTCCGGAGCCGGCGGCATGGGTCCTCTCTAGTCAGCGCTAGAACAACCAAACCTCAAGACAACCCACAAAAGGCCTCAGGCAGATGTCCCATGGGCTCTGCAGTCACACAAATCTTTTTCTCTCTCAGGTACTTTAGAAGGAGATAGCCTTCCTCGTTGTGGGCAGCGCTACATGTAAACTGCCCGCATGCTCCCAGTAATAAACAGATCCAACCTATCCTACTCAACTGTCTCCTTCTTTACCATCACCTCTTGATACTAATACTAAGCGTCTTACACCCCAACCTGTCATTCTGCGCCCATCGTCAACAATCGAAGCCATCAAGATCTCATCCTAGTCTTCTAAGAACCTGCCATCGATTTCATGTTAGTGCTTTCAACATCCTAATTCTAATGTCAGGTTGGACAGCAATCATCTGTCAGAAGTCTGTAATCTCGACCTATGGGTGTATACTGTGTCTCTGAGACACGTATACAAACTGGACTCGAGTGTGTTTATTAAATTGACCTCACCTGACTAATGTGTTAAGTCCTCAAAATTCACCTTACGAGTATCCGGATACCCAGTCTCTAGTTGTCGTGAACTGGATAGTATAGGCACAACATTGAGTTGTAGAGTAGAAAGTGCACTTGTTGACTGGACACTAGTCAACAGCCGCCTATGTGCTGTTCGACTGGAAGGATGTGTATGGGTTGAGAAGGGTGGTGAGACTAGGCAATACCTTTTCGTAATCTCCCCCTACACACCCACGGAGCATAGTTCGGATGATGCAAAGGATGGATTGTATGAGAAGCTGTCGATTTAAATGCAGAAAGCGAAACCTTCACATGTAGTCACAATGGCAGGTGACTTCAACACTCAAGTAGGGAAGCTGAACTGAAGGTAATCGGAATAGCACATTTGGAGTATATACAGAATCTCATGCCAACGAACAGACAGTGGTGATCCTCTGTTATAGGTCAACAGTAACTTCATGCATAAGCAGAGACATTGTCTCTTATAGTGTCCGCTAACTTCAAGTCAACGATGGACACAGATAGATGACATTACTATACGCCATAGTTGGATGGGATCGTTGGAGGGATTGCCGTAGTATGGACTTGTGTATGAATGCATTTTAATGGTCGCAGAAAACAGGCTATATTGAAGCTTGTCTATTATCGATTGGAAGATGAGAACGTCAAGTCGGAATTCAGGGAAGAGATAGGTGAGCATTTATCCAAACATAAGAGCAATGGTCATCCTGAGAAAAGCTGGGTTGGCGTGATATTAAGTCTGCCGTAGAAACAGTGGTAAAGGCAATGGATAAACTTCATCTGAAGGTTAGCAAACGTCACTGGATTTCCTTGACGTCATGCAAACTGATTGGTGCGAGAATACATTTTAACTGACTCTGACCACAGTAAAGAGCGAAAGCAACTCAAATTTAAGTTGATCAAAAGTTTTCGCACTGACCGCAAACTGTGGTGGGTGGGGAAAGGGAGAAAGATTAAGGAATCATTGTTGGGTAACACTCAGCAACTATTAAGGTTACTGGCAAGAGGACGATGGTGAGTGAAACCGTCATAGAAAAGCATGGGACACTAACCTCAAAGTACAGGTTGCTAGAACGTTAGCAAACACTGAAGCACAGTTCAACTGACCCGCTGCAATTTTTCAGTTGCCCAACATCCAGCCTGTCTGAACCTAGATAGGACGCAGATATCGGTCCTCCAAATCTCCTTGAGGTTGAGAAATCTGCATGGAGCCTGAAACGATGCAAAGCAATTTGCCATCATAAGTTTTCAAGGATGGAGGTAGTAAAGTGGTGCTTAAAGTCACAGAGATACTAGCTGGCGAATGGGAATCGGAATTACTGCTGTCTGACTGTAATACTTCACTGATCACCCCAGTCTATAAAAAGGGAGAAAAACCTTTCTTGTGATAACCATAGGGGAATTAGTGTGACTAATATGGTGTACAAGATCTTTTGTGTCCATAGTTATCCGACACCTAACTGGATCTGGAGAACAGCAAACCCAAGAAAACCAGGCAGGTTTCAAATCTGAACGAGGGTGTATGGATCATATTTTCACCCTTCAGTAGGTCTTGGGACACAGGTATACCTATCGGCCAGTGACCGGCACTTGCCATATTTGTTGACCTGAAAGTGGCATTTGACTACCTACCGTGAGGTGTTGTGTCAGTATCTGATTGTGTAGGGAGTATTGAGCAAGTATATAACGTTAATCAAAGCTCTCTACTCGAACTCGTGCAGCCATGTAGGGGCTTAAGGAGAGTTATCATATGAATTTATGACAACTAGGGATGCTTTCTGTCGCCCCTTTTAGTTGACTCCGTTATAGACGTACTAATGGACACAACCTTAAGTATGTGTGACTTCACAGTGATTGACATACTCCCTGGAGGTCATCTGGTTGACTTGGAGTATGCAGACGATATTGTTCTTCTATGTGAAGACACTGACAAAATTCAGAGACGCGTTGAGCAGAAACCTGAGTATGTTCGCCATGCGTTTTGCACCTGTAAAATGCAGGATGATGCTGCAGGACTGGCCTGCTGCAAGTACTCCCAGTTTAACGATATGGAATGAAGTGGCGAAATGTATCGACCACTTCACATACGTGAGAAGTTGCGATACCCAAACGGGTTGGTTGCTGACGAAATATAAACTCGGATACAGAAGGTCCTTTCGGCATTTGCCAACTTGCAATGCCTTTGGCGTCAGGTGGTGAGATACTTGACTATCTACCGAAAGACGAGTATATTGCGCTGCAGTCCATTGTGTCCTGTTGTACGCTGTGACATGATCGTTAAAAGTAGAAGAGACGAGGCGGTTACAGTGTTTTGATCACAGGTGTCTTCGTAGTATCGGTCGCGTGTAGTAGGATCACTGTGTGAGCAATGTCAAGGTCATGTGAGGGGTACTAAGCAAGACAGGCAACTCGGTTGATAAGGTAAACTTTCGTCGACTGGGATGGATTGCACATGTGTTGCGCATGCTGAGTCACTGCCTACCTCTATGTGCCATGCTGCCGGAAGTTGGATTAGGTCTGAAGAGGGTTTAGGGTGACCAGTCGAGGAAGTCCTTACTGTTGGCTTAAGTCGTGTGGAGAGATGTAGACTGCCTGGTTGGGGTTCTTGTGGCGAAAGAAGTCAGTGGTTGAGGACTCTTGGTGACATGGACAAAAATTGGTCACAATAGCGCAGATGTATTCACTCCTTGACATCTAAAACTTGAATATTTGAACTGTTCTTTATCGTCAGATTGTTTATTCTGTCTCACAACGTTTCCTTCTTTGATATCACTCCTTTTCTATCCATCTATTCTTTGTGTAATACTGTGAAGTGTGGCAACTTGAACCGATGCACCTGTATGCACGGTTCTGCTTTGATTTTGTCAGTCTGTTATCAACAATGAATATGAAGTGTAACTGAGCATCGAGTTGTTTGAAAGGATGTAGATTAGTGAGAATAAATGTTAGTGACTTATTTAGGTTTAAGTCGAACTTTTTCCCAGTAGTCTACCTAGTTTTAGTCATCTACTTTGAGTGGAAACTCACTTGCTTTCATTCAGTTGCAATGTATTCGACCGTCAGTCTTTTTCAGGCCGATTCAGACAGATGCTTACCCTACCTATGACTTAGGGTTCCTGGCTATGGAGACATATTATCAGATTTAACTGATGCGTCGAATTTTATTATGGACTGTAGTTAAAGGTTTGAACTAAGGAGACAACAGAACCTATTTTGTGATTTCATTTTAGTTAATTTATTAGATGCATCACACAGTGAAACGGTATTATTCGCTGAATTATGTTTCCGGAACAATTTTTAATCCGTGGTCATATAAAGATAACTTCAAAAGTTTGAAACAATTTATGTAGTTCTAGTTCCCTCACTTTCTTTGTAATATAGGTGGTATATATGAAACAGTTGAAAGAGTTATAATCAGGTCTCAAAGTTGTGTAGTTATCTTGATATGTCTATGGACAATAAATTGTGCCGGAAGCGTACTGCAGTAAATAATACTGTTTCACTGTGTGGTACACCTAATAAACTAACTAAAATGGAATTGCATTTTGTCACAGTGGCCAAGATTTACTGTCATATTAGTAAACTTCGATTGTTTTATGAGGTTCCAGAAGCGGTCAAAGTTGAAGGTAAATAAAGTTGCAATCAGCAGAGCATCAAAAAAGCATAGCAGATAACAGAGGAGTTTAGTGTGATAGCATAATTAAAGAGTTATTTGATTGTAGTCGGTGGTGGATGATTTGATTTTCGCTGAAACTATAACAGAAATCTCATCAATTTACACGTGACTGAGGAGATATCGTATTTGAATATCGGTTATTCTGGAAAATGTTTGTAGAAACGTCTATCTACATCATTGAATTACTTGTGTCTGTACCTTTTAAAAACAGTTTGATCGGCTTTAGTTTTCTTCTTGTCATCTGTTAGTGATTTTCTAGGTTGCTTACTCTTCATTTTGTTCGCTATAGATCCCACAGCCACCTATTTTCCCTGTGGTTAATTCTACAAATCAAGATGAATTTACTGCAACAGGTTCTTGCAATGAGCACATGGAAACTTTGCAGTTAATTTGGAAGCAAAATAATTCGGATAGCGAATGGAAACTCCTATTTCAGTTTGCTCTAAATGATAAAAATAATTTCAATCTAACTCAAATCAACTTGAGTTATGAACACAACCATTCGCAAGGTCAGTTATATGTATTTTTGCTTGCATTCTTGAGATTACTTATTTCACTTGTATTTTATTATTCCTTCTGCTGAAAGACTATACATTTATTTTCAAAGCACTTCAGTTCTTTATCGATGACTGTTAATGCATCCAGACAGCTTAGTTGATTTGTTAGATGTTATCGCACAATGGAACAGTATTATTTACTGAATTACGTTCCGGACACAATTTACTGTCCATAGTCATAACAGGAAGCCTCCATGGCTTGAAAATAGTTTACCAAGTTCTAGTTTTCTCACCCCCTTTGTGATGTGGGTAGCGGGATTTTCCACATATCTGGAGGAGGTGCTGAGTCATTTCTGTTGCATGTATTGAGTGTTGATTCAATAGACAAAGATTCAGTTATCAATCTCTCCCTCCAACCCACTAGGTTAGTTTTATGGAGTTTAACTCTGTCCCACCCAATTCATCGTTGTGTTTAATTGCATGCATAGCTATGGCCGAACTCTTACCGAGATTCCTTATCTTACTGGGATCTACTAACTTTGATCTAGCTAGGTGTTTGTGCTTGGATAGCCTAATTGATATTGATGAACTTCAACTGCTTTATGAAAACCCTCTAAATGAGTTAAAGGCAGAAGGAACATATACTCACCTCCTTAGGGAGAATATGTTTTGATGTTAGAATTTCACTAGGGTGATTTCACTGTATGTATATAGAAGGGACTTATATTGAGTGCAGAGCAGTGATATACAGTGCTGAGTAGTTCGGTTACTTATCTGAATGCCTTGAATTAGGTTAACTGAGGCTAATGAAATTGATGTATAAGCTAAGAAAATATGCTTGGAGAAAAGAATGGATAGTTCTAAGGACTACATAATCATCTAAACTGCTTAAATTTTACAACAAGCAATAACTTGTTAACCACTGGGCTAAAACGAATTCAAGGTTATTTTCCGCAAGAAAGGCTAATGAATGTAGTATAAATAACCTTCAAAGAACTGAGAAATTTTCGAGCGAGCAAGCAGCTGCTAAGGTGATTGGATGCTAAGATGAAACTAGTCACTATTTTTAACTTTCACTCTTTATGAATCCTTAAGTTATGATGCAACATGACGTTAGCTTCAAACATCAAATAATTTCATGCAGATTGAGTTAATGAGCATGGAGTTGTTTGAAAGCATGTAGATTAATGAGAATAAATGAATAGTGACTTATTTAGTTTCGTAGACTTGGTCAATAAACCGGTCATATTCCTTCTATCTTCTACAAGTGTTCATAGTGGATTAATAGCAGTTCAGTAACAAAACTGATATAGAAAAAAAACCTTTTTTTTCACAACCAGGTGAGTAATTTATTCCGTTTTTGGTTTAGATGATCCATCTATAGAGATCTATGAAGTCAGAAATAATCATGACTTCTGTCAGTCATTGATAAAACTCAGAATCCCAATGTATTTGGTCTCATGTACTGGAAATAAAATAATCAGTCAGCTGATGCATTACTTCAACTACCTCCAGCTAAAAAATAGCTTAAGAGTATTATCGATGAATATGCAAAGATCCTACAAAGTTGTATTTTTACTGGAAGTTATTGACTCAAGAGGTTTAGTAAGTATAAATAAAATCATTTCTCATCGCCTTTCCTATCTATCTTCGGAAATTCCTTTCAGATTTTTCAACTCATGGTATTATCGGTAAACAATTGTATCAAAATACTGAGCACTTACTTAGGCTTGGGTGATCGAATCGTATAATGAGTGTTAATACGTCGTAGCCTAGTACATAAACCTTGATAGGTAAATCAGTAGCATCAAATTAAATGTAGCATACGGTTTGATTTCCATGGTGCACCAGTTTCTTATTTTGTGTGAAATAATTTACAACATTTGGTGTAGCGTACAGTGATACTATGTTATTTACTGAATTGAAAACAAAATATAAGAAAACAAAATAATATAGTATCACTATATGCTTGTCATGAAGTAATAATTGTTTGTGCGAAGCTATGATAGAATGATCATCAAGTGAATGGCCGAATATAGACATGATACAGCTTGGTGTGACTGAGTGATTAGTACTGACGAAACGAGATACTGTTTTGGGGTCAATCTTGTGACCTGTTTCTATAGTGTGTTTACCTATAGAGGATGATATCTGAGTGCCCCCTGTATTTATCGGATTATTTGGATGTGTGATTGTTTTTGTAGCCAATTAGGGATATACTCCACAGTCCTCAACCTCATAGCTCGATTACTCCTCCCAATGTGTATTACCGCACACATGTAAATTGGTATACACAACGGGATATGACATCATCTTTGTAGTGGTGAGGTTTTTGTTGAAGCATAGGTTTCGTTTTCTCCACAATATTAAGTTTGACTTCATGGTATGTCTTTTTAATGACTGAAATGAGCCTTCATGTGATACCCCCCGCCCCTTATTCGGTAGCGTGGTGCAAACGACTTTCTTCGGAACAGAATACTGATTAGTTTGCACTGTTGAGATGTTTTTATATCGGTTGATGAACTTCATAAGACATACGTTTTTGTGAGTGTCTCTGTTAAGAATTTGGTTTCTTCCAATGTATCTGTTGTGTAGATCTGTTAGGTCCTTTTGAATACGCATTTTACTAAACCTGTTTTGTACGGGATTGGACAGAAACCAGGAGAGTTTAAATACTGTCCGGTTCACGCAGGTTTTCTATGCACTGATCTTTTTATCAACCCATCTTCCCTTCTAGATAATAATACGTCTACTTCATACGACAAACTGGTGGGGCTTTGTATGGTGTTAGGTCTGTCTAGAAGACTTTTCCATCCTCATGTTTGTTACATATATCTAAGATATCATACACGTATCTCCTGTACCGAGGGATTTTGTTGACTAAATCACTAGCCAAAAATTTTACATGTGATGTATAGACACTAGGTAACAACAGTCCTAAAGGACTACTCATAGCGAAACCATCAGCTTGTCGAAAATGTTCACCGTCGTAAGTGAAGTGAACCTTATCGGTGTGTCGGAGTAATAACTCAATATGGGAACAACTTGGACCGTTACGCAGTAACGCCTGGTCCTATATTGATATCGATAATGAAAACTTGGGGACTGGTAGATTGTAATTCCATTTTGGCCTGTTTATTAGAAATATCACGCAGTGAAACAGTATCATTTATGAATAACGTTTCGAATATAATTTATTGTCCATATTTATGTTATGTAACTCCTTAACTGTGGGACGTAGTTTATGTAGGAATGTTCAGTGATACGTAATCACAAAGAATATCAATAGTCCGGTTACATGCTCGTTGTTCAATAAAGAGTTTACATCAAAAGAATGCAGTCTTATCTTTGATATTAATGTCATCTATGTAGTCAGGACATTCAGAATTATATTTAATGCAATGAAATGTAATCTAAACCAGATAATTAGCTAACTGGTTTCGATTTATCTGTATCCTCAAAACCCAAACATAATGCCCATCAGAAAAACGGAAACATTTGTTATGTTGTATAGCATAGTATCATTTAATTGTATAAAAACTGTTATTGATATGCGATGAATGAAACTCAAAATACCATGAATACAAATCATACAATTAATCCAGAATAAGAATGAAAGTCACAAAAGAGCTAGTAACTTCTCACCAATGTGTGTAAATACTGCCTTATCGTCTACTGTATCAGTCAAATATCAAATGAACTAATTTAATATAGAATCCTATCGAATAGATGACATTTTGTTTTTAATCATTTCGCTAATTATTTGAACTGCAATGCACATTCATCATTCGAAAAAATGTTTTGTTTATCTACTCTGAATGTATTTTATGACCTATTTTCATCACAGTGACCCTGTGCTAATTGTTGGAACCTTATTTATTATCAAGTGTCCTTTGTATTATCCTTAATTGACTGGTTTTCTATCTGACAAGTAGTGCATAGTTTGGTTATCTTATTCAGATCTTTTGTATTGAACTGAGAGCCTATTGGATTATACAGTCGAATACCGTCCTAACTGTCAAGCTTTAAACAACTGGATAGTATCACCGTTACCTCCACGATAGGTGTGCCTCAGCTTAGACCACGGACATACGCGTTTTATCTGACGTACAACCGAACTTGTCACTAGCTACCTGAACTTATGTGTAAATACAATCATCTGACTTTTGAAAAGAAAATCACCACAAAGAGTAATTTTCTTCGCTTTGATCTTTGTTTTAACTTTGAATAGGAAATATAAATTTAGGTATTACTATTATTGAAATGCAAACTTATAGTCAGTCAGTTGGTCAGCAGTTTTGTCATGATGTTTGTACAGTCAGGCTCTGATAATAATGATCCTTCTAATATGATGAGTGGACATTTATCAGAATCATCAATACGTTGATTGTCTCAATCTAGTGTTTATTTAATTGTCAGCAGTATTTTGCTGTGAAAAAGTCTGCTTACAATAGCTTTTATGTTCGTTTATCTGCTTATGAACTTAATTTTCATCATAGTTCTGTATCACTGGATATTCAGAATAGTTCTTG